GCTGTTAGGGACCTGTCCAAAGTACTGAAGAGCAATGGTGTCTCTCTGGAGACTAAGGTCCGCCCGATAAAGGCTTTGGTCTTCCCAATCACCTGTTATGCATCAGAGTTGGACAATGACCAAGGAGGATAGAAGGAGAATTGATGCCTTTGAGCTGTGGTGCTGGAGAAGAGTATTGAGAATACCATGGACTGCTAGGAAAACAAATAGATTTGTCCTGGAAAGGGTTAAACCGGGTGGCTCCTTGGAGGCAAGAATTCTGAGGCTTCGTCTAACATACTTTGGACATGTTGTGAGGAGAGACTGGTCCTTGGAGAGGGACATCATGCTTGGGAGTTTGGAGGGACGGTGTAGGAGAGGAAGGCCCTCTATGAGGTGGACTGATTCAGTGACTGGGATAATTGGGATGGGAGTGTCAGAGACGGTGCGATTGGCACAGGACAGAGCGGAGTTTAGGGCTGTTGTACATAGGGTCGCTATGAGTCGCAAGAGACTCGACAGCACATAACAACAACATAACAAAAAAGTTAAAATATAAAAAATATTTCCAATATAAAATGGAATTTACATGCACATATCTAAAAAGCACCAAAATCCCCTGAAAGTTGTGAAGGAAAAGAAAGAATATAAAGCTCTTTAAATGTACTGCAATCCCAGAGGCACACGGTTCAAATCCACCAGATGCTCTGCTGGAAAGGAGGAACACTCTCCTCCTGTACCAGTCATATCTGATTTGATGGTACACACACACACAAATTAAAAAAAAAAATAATAATGAGCAAAGCTTTCTAAATGACTAGAGATTACAGTAAAGAGACCGAACTTCTCAATTCTTTAAAAATGTGGACAAAAAGAAAAAACTAGAGTGTTAGAGATTATCCTTTGTCTTTTAATAGGCTCAATTACCTATACCTTGATTTTTAAAGCAAAAATCTTTTATTCCCTATTTCTGTAAGAATCACTTCATTATATATGCTAGTAAGAAGTCTCCACTGAAAGACAAATAACTCTTGGTGGAATGGGGAAGGGTGTGAGTGTTATATTAGAAAAACAAAGATAAAAAACAGATCAGAAGCAAAGCACTGGTGATATCTCCTTCATTTTCTCCCTCATTTTATTCTCCCCAAACTGCATACACTGTGACATAAACATAGTGGGTATTGCCATTCCCATTATCTAAAATGTATGTGGAAGATAATAAAGTCACAGATAAACACCATTTTCTCTCTGGCAGGGAAAATCGCTGTTTGTGCTCCTAAAACTGTTAGGCATTAGAGGCCAGATAAATAGGCACCAGTGACCCACTGGCACTGTTAGTGATTTGAAACGCATTACTAAGCAGTAAAACAGAAAATGTTATCAATTCTGGGAGTTTCAAAGCTATACGATCCAGAGCTAGAGCAAAGAGCAGAGATTGCCAAAAAGCGAATGCAATAAAATATAGCCAAGTTTATTACGTATGGTTAATTTAAACAATCTTTTGCTTTGGAAAAATACAGCATAATTTAAGCAATGAATTTATCTTTGGCATGAATAGTTATATCTTATCCGTTTATACTGATATGGAAACTTGAGCTTTCTATTATTTTTTCCAACAAATTAGTTGTATGAAATTGCAGATAGCAATGTGTTTCAACACGGCTGTTAATAAGGCAGATGACAACTAAAAGAAATTTGATAAATTAGAAAACAGACAACAAGACTTAAATGATTAGAACAAAGGGAACAGGAATTTTCTATAAAGAAACAGGAATGACAATACAAATTGCTTAGTGATCGCTAACTAATTAGAGTATAATGTTCCAAAGTGTGGCCTTTGATTATAACATAACAAAGGAAGGCTTTCCGTTCATGCTCAAAGGAGAAGTAAGCTTGTAGCTCAGAATTAAAAACAGATCCAAAAAGTCCTAAGGCCTGTGCGACTCGCTTAAAAAAAAAATCAAACTGTACAGGTACAAAAAAGAGATACTATCTGCTACAAGTGACCAATACAAATTAGTAAACACCAAGAGCTGAGTAAACAATAATCATAATGACAATACAACATTTATTGAGCACATGGTGATAGGTCTTGTGATGTGCATAGAGGTATTCTCATAGAGTCTCTCCTATCATCCTATGACATGTGGTTACGTTAGCTCTATTTCACTATGGATTAATTAAGGAATTTTCCAATCATCATCACACAGCTATTAAAGAGAAGAGCTTATTGATATATATGTTGTATTAGTTTTAGGCAGCCTTGTGACTCCAGGTTAAAGTCTTCATTTCAAAATAAACAAACAAACAAAACCAAAAATCTGTTGCCACCAAGTTGATTTTCCAAGTACAAGACAAGTAGAATAGACTCAGAGGGCATCAAGGTATACCCTTTATAGAAGCTGACTGCCTTATTTTTCTCCCATAGAGCTCCTGGTGGGTTTGAACTGCTTACCTTTTGGTTAACAGCTCAGTGCTTTAACCATTGTGAACCAATGAATGCTATCTACTAAGAACTGTGGATCTAAAAAAGAAACATGGTGGGCAGTAGTCTCCATCACAGACTCTAAAGAGTCATGCTTTTAAGCATTTTATTTACTTACTTTGCACAATTAATCCTTACTTTCCACTATAAAAAGGGCACACACATTATAGAAAACTTTTTAACTCTAGAAAAATAAAAGATGAAGCAGGATGACTTAGTTCAATGTCTTAAAGACAAAAGTGCTAATTTTCCAAATATTTTCTTCTTTTTGTACTTGTTTTTTTAATGTCTTACCTGATTATAATCACTGTATATATGTGATTTAAAAGCATTTTCCTCCAAATTTTGAACACTTATTAGTAATACAGAATATACAGAAAAAGATCACATTTTAAAAAATCACTTTTATGCTCTGATGGTGGTGTTTGAAGGAAGATGTCTCTCTGAAGGATCAGCAGCTGCACCAGAGAAAGATGGGCATTCCTCCTGTGAGATGACTGGATGGTCAGCTATGAGTCACTTCTGAGTCAATGGCAATGAGTGCTTTTTTAAAGATGTTAATTCATTATTATTAGGCACCTTCCAGTCAAGTATGACTCACAGTGACCCTCTAAACAACAGCTCTGAACCCTGTCCAATCCTGTGACATCCTCATCATTTCTGACATACTTGAATCCACTGCTGCGGTCACTCTATCCATCTTGTTAGAGTCTTTCTCTCTTTTGCCTACCCTCCACTTTTCTAAGCATGATGGCCCTTTACAAAGATTGGCCTCTTCTAAAAACATGTCCCAAGTATGTGGGAATGAAGCTTTACCATCTTTGCTTCCAAGGAGTTCTCTGGCTGCACTTTCTCTAAGACCTGTTTGTTCTTTTGGCAGTCCATGGGAGATTGAGTACTCTTCTCCAGCACCACAACTCAAGGCATCAATTCTTCTGTCATCCTTACTCATTTTCCAGCTTTCATATGCATAGTAAGTGACTGAAAAAGTCTACAGCTTGAATCAGGCACACCTTAGTCCTCAAACTAACATCATTGCTCCTCAGCAATTTGGAGAGGTTCCTAATTGTAGAGTTTCTCAATGGAATACATCTCCTGATCTCCTGACTGCTGGTATCAAGGGTTTTTATTGTGGACACAAATTTGTCTCCTGATATCCTGACTGTTGGTGTCAAGCATGTTGCTAGTAGAACCAAGTACGATGAAATTGTTGACACCTTCATTCTTTTCTGCATCTACCATGATGCTGCTTATTGGTCCAGTAGTTGAGAAATTTTGTTTTCTAGCTGTTGAGATATAACCCATATTGAAGGCTGAATTCTTGATCTCATGCAACAAGCACTTCAAGTTCTCCTAACTTTCAGCAGGTCAGGTTGTGTCATCTGCATATCGTAAACTGTTGATGAGTCTTCCTCCAATTCTTATGCCACATTCTTCTTCATACAGATCAGCTGACAACTCAGCTATATTCAAATAAATAAAATACTATGAATACATCTTTGTTTATTAAAACCGCTTCAAATTAGGAATAAAAATTAGGGATAAAGTCCAAACTATAAGGATGAGCAATTACTAAACTAAGCAAACTGACTGTGGCTATAAAGTCTACAGACAACAATCTTCACAGGACAAATTAAGACTCATTTTCCTGGAGATAAGGATTAAATGAAAGATACTTTATACAATTCCCATCCTGGGAGGTTCAAAGATCTATATAGCTACAATTTCTTGTTTTCATGTGATGGTATCAAATACTCTTTCATATTGATTCCTTCAACCACAAGTCTGATACTTTCTAGGTCTAAACATTAATCAACCTTCTTTGTCTTCAGAGTCCACCTCAAATAGCTTTCCTTCATCTCTTAGATCACAACGCTTCTCATTCATTCTACACTAGAAAATATATCACTGTCACAGTTAAAAAGAATTTTATCATAACTGGGGTTTGTGGGACCTTGATATCAAAACACTTTAAATAAAAATATATTAAATACACCTGCTCCTCACTTAGAACTATTTAATATAACATTGTGTAGTTACAACAGAAAGAAATCTATGGTTACTATTTTTCACATTAATCATATATGCATTAATTACAAAAACAGCAAAGGAGAGTCTTAACCAAGTGGGTTGACACAGTGCAGCAATGGGCTCGAATGTGTCAGAAAGCATGAGGATGGCACAAGATAGGGTTCAGGTTCACAGGGTCACTATTGATGGTACCTGACTTGCCAGACCCTAACAAAAACAACTGTTACTAATTTTCACATGAATTACATTTCAGATAAGTAACAGGTACCAAAGTGAGAAGCTATGATGGTTAAGGTTATGTAGGCAGTTTCTCAGCAGTTTGACAGTTATGTAATAATACAATAATCCTCCATTTTCACGTTAACAACTTAAGTCTTTTGATCATCACGATCTTAATAAGTAAGGAATGGGTATAGTAGATAACATAACAGTATATAAAAACATTTTATTTCAAAACCAGTAAATTTAGAAAATCTTTTCGTACAGAAAACAATACAAAACTCACCACTATTTTGGCCAAGATGCCATCATCACCTGCATCTAAGGTAACCACAGCTTTGTCAGTTTCAATTTCACATAATGCATCTCCAGCACTCACGGCTTCACCTACAAAGTAAAGACTGAGTTAGACTGGGTCTTCAAAATACGAATATTAATATATTAAATGTGCATGTAAAATATGAATATCTAACACTTCACTAGCTATTTCTAGGATGTGGCAAAACAAACAAATGTCTGTATTTGTGTGAATGTGTATATTCTGTTATATTTTCTAGTTCTATAATGGACATAAAGTCTATGCTATGTGAAAAAAAAATGTTATTACAGGTATTTCTGGCCAAATATTAAAGAAATAAAATCACATTTTTAGACAAAAGAAATAAACATGGCTTCTTTAGAAGAAATCCATTCCAGACTACGCATTTTAAAATATACTTCACCATTCCGGGTAAAGCAAAGCTTCAAAATTAACAGGACCACTAAAACCACCATGAAGAATAAACAAATGAAGTAGAAAAAAGAAAATAATAACAATAATAATAAAAGATATAGGTGAAATAAAATAGAAAAGCCTTCAGTGCCAGAGAAACAGTGTAGAAACTAAAAAATGTTGAGCAGTGCTACAGCTGCTTGTTAGTTTCCAGGCTGAGAAGTGCCAAGCTAGAGAGAGAGATCAGAAATCTGTCAGATTACTTAATGCTCTGGCGATTGTCAGGATTCCTTTCCTCACAACACCCACTGCCAGTGAGCCAATTTCAACTCAAATCAACACAGGACAGAGTAAAATTGCCTCAATGGGATTCCAAGGTTGTAAATCTTCATGGAAGCAGACTACCTAAACTCTCTCCCACAAACCACCAACCTTCTGCTAAATAGTCAAACACCTTAGTCACAGAACCACCACCCAATAAGAAAATAACAAAGTGGGCAATCAAACCATGATCAAGGGGGCTGTGGTTTCAATCAGAAACTGCTGATCTAGGAAGTAGAAGACCGCTTCAATTCAAGTCAGAACACAAATCAACGTACACTCTGGCTCTAAGACAGGATCTGCCAATATCCCTAATAAAGTGACTAAATTGGGGCATGGAAGATGAGGAGAGGTGCACCATGGGTTGAACCATGTTTCCCCAAAATACACAAACATACGGCATAATGTGGAAAGTATGCAATGATTCCCCTACGATCTGATAAACCAAATTTCTCTATAAACATTCCAGGTGGAATGAAACTCCTTTAATCTCATCACAGTCTTGATATGGTATAAAAGGAGCTTTTCTAGGATATAGCCTTTAATAAATACCTTTTAAATCACAAGAGATAAAAAGTCAGGAAAGTGAGGTAAAAAGGGAAGCCTCAATACCGCCAAGGAAGACTCCCCAGGACTGGAGTGTGTCCTTTCAGGCACAAGTCTCTGTGCAAGGACACCTGAAAGGCCAAGATGCGTGAAGAGCTCCAAGAACCACCGAGTCTACAGTGTGAAAGACACAAGAGCTCCTTGCCAGAACCAATGGGAAGAGGAAGTTAGCCTTGAGCTGGAAACCGGAATTTGGATTTTTAACTCCTAAACTGTTAAGGAATAAATTTGTTTGTGATAGCCATACACTTGTGGTATCTTTGTTATAGTAGCATAACATAACAAGACAAGGGGTAAAAGATGAGAGGGAAGATACAGAAACAAAATAAAATATGTTCCACCCAAAAACTTGTTTCAAACACAAATCGCAAAACAAATGAAGAAATCTAATGTTAAGAAAGAAAAAAAAAAAAAAAAAAAAAAAAAAAGAAAGAAAAACCATAAAATTAGTAACCGGAAAAGAAATGCATCTCATTCTTACTTCATTTAATGCAATTTGCCAAAATGTTAAATGTGTTATCTTGACGATATTCAAGATATCTTGAAAAGATATAAATGAAAGACTCATCACAAGGAATTTTTTTAAAAACTACACAAAAATTAAATAAAGTAGAGGTGTAACAAAAATAAGAACAAGGAAAAAGGAAAGGAATAAATAAACCTAATTAGAAATGTTGCAAATGTTGTTGTTAAGTGCCATCGAGCCATAGGTGACTCATAGCGACCCTATGAACAAAAGTCCTGGACATCTGAATAACTTTCGTCCTTTCTCCAGGTTCGTAGGGTTTACCAGAGGCAGGCTATTATGGAAGTGGATGCCACTCCTGCTTCCAAGCGTGTTTTAATCGGGGAGCTCCACCAAACACTGTCCACCAAGGGTAACCATTTTCGCATTTGACTCATCAGTGTCACAGTGTTTGGCTTCACAGCAACCACGAGTTACCTCTATACAGCAAGTGGGCATACCAGGGTTACAAGACCTTGAAGAATGTTTCACCAAAAACAATTAAAGGCAGGCCTGAGGGCTGCGGAGTAGTCACCCACCTTTGGCAAATACAGATGGAAAAACACAACTGAAACTGTAATGCTTGTTTTATGGACTACCAAGGTAATGTTGCTGGGTGCCTCCAAGTCAACTAGGACCCACTGTGACCCCAAGAATAAAATGGATTGGTACCCTGCCTTATCCTATGTCATCCTCATCATCTCTCGTATTCTTGAGCCCACTGTTACACTCCCTGTTGTCAATCTACCTCCCTGAGCATTCTCCTCACTTTCACTGACCCTCCACCTTTCCAAGCATGATGTCCTTTTCCAAGGACTAGATCCTCCAAACAATTTGCCCAAAATATGAGATAAGCTCACCATCCTTGCCTCCTTGTAACACCTCAGATGCACTTTCTCAAGACAGATTCATTTGTTCTTTTGGCAGTCTATGGAATATGCAGTACCGTTCTCCATCGCTATAACTCAAAGGCATCCATTCCATTTCTGTTGTCCTTAGTCACCATTTCAAATGCATAGCAAGTAATTAATCATGGTATGAATAACATGCACCTTAGTCTTGCACTGACACCTAAAAGAGGTCCATGACAATGAAATACGTCTTTTGATTTCCTAACTGCTGGTGCCAAAGGTGTTGACAGTAGATGCAAGCAAGATGAAACTCCAGACAATTTCTACCTTTTCTCCATCTATCATAATGTTGTCTATTGGACCAGTGATGAGGATTTTTATTTTCTAGTTCTTGAAGGCTATAGTCTTTGGCCTTTTGCAGCAAACATTTCAGGTCCTCTTCACTTCTGGCAAGCAAGGTTATGTCATCTGCATAACTGAGGTGGTTGATGAATCTTTTTCCAATCCTGATGCCACATTCTTACTCATAAAGTCCAGCTTCTTGAATGATTTGCTCAGCATACATATTAAATAGGTATGGAAAATGATCCTTCCTTACAAGGAGGGCCCAGTCTCTGGAGAGGGAGACTGGAGGGACAGCGCAGGAGAGGAAGACCGTCGATGAGATGGACTGATTCAGTGACTGGGGTAATGGGGTTTGGTGTGTCAAAGACAATAAGGTTTGGCACAGGATAGAGTGGGTTTAGAGCTGTTGTACATAGGGTCGTTACGAGTTGCAAGCAACTTGACAACAATGACAACATACTTCAAAACACAAATTTAAAAGGAAAGAGTATTGAACTAAATATGAGCCCATATTATATACACAAGAGAGAAATTGCAGGCAATAAATAAATCTCTGTAAATGTTCATTAAAATTAAATTATTTTTTTTTAAAAAAGCAACTATTGTTGTTGCTATGTACCATCAAGTCAGAACTGACCCATAGCTGACCCTCCAGCAGGTTTTCAGAGGCAGTACTGCCCATCCTTCTTCCATGGCATAGCTGGTGGCCTCGAACTATGTCTCTTCGGGATTGCAGCACAGCTTATTGCCACAAGGCCACCAGAGCTTCCTTAAAAGCAACTTGTTGCTTGTTGTTGTTATGTGCCATTGAGAGGCCCTGCGGCTCATAGCAACCCTAGGTACAACAGCCCTAAACTCTGCTCTATCTTGTGCCAATCTTATTGTTTCTGTCACACCCACTCCCATTACCACAGTCACTGAATCAATCCATCTCATCGAGGGTCTTCCTCTCTTTTGCTGTCCCTCCACCCTCCCAAGCATCACGTTCCTCTCCAAGGACTGATCCCACCTTGCAAAAAAGCAACTAGAAGGGGGAAAAAGATTGTCTCCAAAGAACAACAGATTGACAGCGTAACTCAGGTGCCTTCAACAGAGCTCAGAAGAAAATGAAGTAGAATGTTTCAAGAGGGGAGGAAAAAGAAGTGTTGAGAATGTGATACGGAGCCAAACATCATTCACCAATGAGGGAAAAGTGTTTTTTTGTTGTTGTTGTTTTTTAACATATCAAGAATTATCTATTGATGATCATGGAAAGAACTATTATTAGAGCTATATTTCTTCAAGAAGAAAAGTGAACACAGTGGAAACAAAGGGAAAACAAGGGGAAAAAAAACCCTATAGAAATTGATGAAATCTTAACAACTGACTATACTCAAGGTCATCTGAAGAGCTTAAGAATGTAAAACCATGAAGACTCTTTCATGGAGGGATAGGGAGGGAAATGTGCAACAATGAATGAATGGAAATCCAAGCTTTCTGTAAACTTTTGTTAAAATAGCAATAAAAAAATTTTAAAAAAGAAGAAAAGAACATAAAACTAATACTTTTTTAAAAAGAAAATGAATTAGGAGAGTCTTTAGGTGATGTCAAAGAATCCTTAGAATTCTGGTACAAACACAACTGAAATTCAACCCAAAACTTTATTGATAAAACTTAACCACATAATCATCTAAAACCTCAAAGGTATGCACAAAGAAGTAAAATCTATAACAAAAATTACCTAAGCGAAGGCAAAGGCATGAAAAGAAAAAAAAACCCAAAAATAAAAATATAATTGCACCAAATATTAATAGATTAAAAGAATATTTAAAAAGAGATTATTTTAAAAAAGATCAATTAGAGGAGCTCTGATGGCCTAGTGGCAAGAAGGTGCACTAAAATCCCAGAGGTACACAGTTTGAATTCATCAAATGTTCTGCTGGAGAAGGAGGGACAATCTCCTGCTGTACCAGTCAGATCCGATTTGATGGTACACACACAAAAAGTAATGAAATAAAATTTAAAAAAAAATCTAAAAATCCAAATAATGCCTGCTTATAACAGATTA